TATAAAACTTTCTAATAAAATTGGCCTTCTAACCAAACAGTCCGCACAACATTTTTAACAATGCTTTCTACAGACTTTTTAGCATAACATCTTATCTTAAAATGTAAATTTATTATTCTTCATTAATTGTTCTCTGTCATTAGGGCTAAAAGCCTAAAATGATAACAGAAAAAATATATTTAATCCACGATCAATTATTAGCACTTAAAATTTTATGTTCTCCTTTAATTTTACTTTACAATCCTAAAATCATTTATAGTATGTTTGGGTACAATTTGATTGGTTAAAAATCTTTTTCTTACCTTCATTCTCTTCTACCCAAACATACAATTAATTAAAATCAATAACTAATATTAAAATTGAAATTTCTTGACCTCGAAAATAGCTACACCACAATCAGAAGAATGACTCTCCGTGCATTTTGTTTTTGCAAGAAACAAAAATGGAAATAGTAGACAAACAACTATGTAGAAAACTATGGGACTCAGACAATATGGAATGGGTGGCAAAACCATCTTCGGGAGCCTTCGGAGGATTAATCATAATCTGGAACAGTGAGGTATTCAAGAAAGTAGATGTTTTTGAAGGTGATGGTTTTCTTGGGATTTATGGGTTATGGGGACCTGAAGCTCACCCGTGCATTTTGTGTAATGTATACTCTCCGTGTGATTTGGAGAAAAAGAAAATTCTATGGGGATCACTTCAGTAGAAAATAAAGAACAACAGGGGATGCTGTGGCATGCTGTGGCATAAGGGGTGATTTTAATGCCATCAGATGTCTACAAGAAAGGAAGGGAGGAAGGAGTGCAAGGAGAGAAATCACGGGCTTTGAAGAATTCATCTTGAACAATGGATTGATGGATTTACCAATGTTGGGAAGGAAATATACATGGTATCAGCTGAATGGTCAATGTATGAGCCGCTTGGACAGGTTCCTATTCAATGATGAATGGTTAACGAAATGGCCTGATTTGAAGCAATGGGGTCTCCACAGATCTATGTCAGATCACAGACCAATATTGGTAAAAAATGAAGCACATAATTGGGGTCCAAAGCCATTCAAATTCTTTAATGCTTGGCTATATAACTCGGGATTTACAGAGATGGTTGCAGCAAAATGGAGAGAGATCTCAGTCCACGGATGGGGTGGATTCATTTTGAAGGAAAAATTGAAAATGACTAAAGAGTTCCTTCGGGTTTGGTCAAAATCTTCATTACAAGAAGTGGATAGAAAGATTGAGGAGTCCAAGGAGGAGATGAACAGAATTGATGTAAAAGCAGAAACTTGCAGCTTAATAAAAGAAGATCTATTTCTTAGAAGCTCACACTACACTGAGTTATTAAAGAATATGCAACTGACAGAAGAGATGGCCCAACAAAAAGCAAGGAAAAACTGGCTGAAAATAGGAGACGCTAATACCAGTTTCTTCCACAAATGCATCAAAGGGAGATGGCGCAGAAATGAAATAAATGTAATCTCCATAGGGGGCAAAGAGATGAGGCAAGTTGGAGATATAAAACAAGGAGTAATGAAGTATTCTGAGAACTTATTTACTGATGAGGGATGGACAAGATTGAAGTTAGAAGGGATACAATTCAGAACCATTTCGGAGGCAGATATATGCATGCTTACTGAGCCTTTTACAGAAGAAGAAGTCAAAACAGCGGTATGGAATTGTGACAGCACCAAAGCACCAGGGCCAGATGGATTTACTTTCGGTTTTATAAAGAATGAATGGGAGGTGATCAAGGCAAATATCATGGAATTCCTTAAGGATTTTCACAGCAACAAAAAACTGGTAAAAGGGTCTAATGCTTCTTTTCTCGTCTTGATACCGAAGACAGAAAACCCCCAAGGTGTGGAGGAGTACCGACCCATCTCTTTAATTGGATGCACTTACAAAATTCTTGCTAAACTACTAGCAAATAGGCTCAACAAAGCATTGAATTCAATTATAGGAGAAAATCAATCTGCTTTTATTGAGGGAAGGCAACTTGTAGATGGAGTGGTTGTTGCAAATGAAGCGATTGATGGGGCACGAAAAAGAAAATCCAGGTGCTTCATTTTCAAAATCGACTTCGAAAAAGCTTATGATAAGGTGAGCTTGTCCTTCCTTGATTACATGATGGAGAGAATGGGTTTTGATATAGTATGGAGGGGGTGGATCTCAAAATGCTTAAGATCAAACATGGTGTCCGTCTTAGTCAACGGAAGTGCTACCAAAGAGTTCTCAATGACAAGAGAGCTCCGACAAGGCGACCCATTATCCCCATTCCTATTCCTAATGGTGGCAGAAGCTCTAAATGGACTAACTTCCGCAGCTGTTGCAAAGGGATACTTCCATGGAGTCAAAATAGGAGAGGGAGAGTTAGAAGTTAGCCATCTTCAGTTTGCGGATGACACACTTTTTATGGGAGAGGCGACTGAAGATAACATTTGCACAGCAAAATGCATAATGAGGGCATTTGAATTGGTGTCAGGGTTGTAGATAAATTACAGAAAAAGCTCTTTAATTGGAGTGAATACAGATGAAGACTGGATCAGAAGCATGGCATGGATGTTGAACTGTAAAATCGAATCCCTCCCTTGTAAATATCTGGGCATGCCTTTGGGGGCAAATCCAAAGAGAATAATCACCTGGAGACCTCTAATAGACACATTCAGAAGAAAGCTCTCAATCTGGAAAGGAAGATTCTTATCTCTCGGTGGACGAATTACCCTCATAAACTCAGTGCTATCCAGCTTACCATTGTTCTTGATGTCAGTATATCTGCTCCCAAAACAAGTAATCCATGAACTTGATAAAATTAGAAGGAATTTTTTGTGGGGAGGGGTTGAGGGAGGCAAAAAGATAGCTTGGGTATCTTGGGACAGGGTGTGCAGCACAAAAAAAGAGGGTAGGCTGGGGGTAAAAAACCTTAGATGGTTTAATATGGCCTTGCTAGGCAAATGGTGGGCGAGATTAATAGGAGGTGAGAAGGGCCTGTGGGCGAGGGTGCTGTTAGAAAAATATGGTAGCAAGGATGGAAATTGGTTATCATGGTTGAGTGAGGACCGAGTCTTAGGATCATCATGGTGGAATGATATATGTAAATTAAACGCGGGTGTAGATAGCAAAGATGGGTGGTTGCTTTTGAATTTCAACATGAATTTGGGTGAAGGGAAAAATGTTAGATTCTGGCTAGACACATGGGTGGGAGGGAAATCTTTGGCTAATGTTTTTCCAAGGCTGTTTTTGTTGGCTACAGAAAAGAATTGCAGCATCAATCAAATGGGACATTGGAACGACGGATGTTAGGATTGAAAATTCAAATGGAGAAGACCACTTAAAGCTTGGGAAGAGGAAAATCTGCAACAATTGCTGGAGACAATAAAACACAAAAAACTAGTGCAAGGCGCAACGAACACTTGGTGCTGGAACGTAGAGACCGGGGGAAGATATACCACAAGGACAGCCTATGTGCAGCTAGCAAAAAAAGAAGAGAATAGGCTGCTAGAGTACACAAAAATATGGGAGTCGCAAGTCCCACCAAAAGTGAGTGCTTTCTCATGGCAACTACTCTTAGATAGAATTCCTACAAAGGTTAACTTAGCAAAGCGTGGAATTTTGGATGCTAATCAAAATATAAAATGATTTTGGTGTGATCAACTTCCTGAAGATACAAAACATCTTTTTCTAGCTTGCAGCACCTCCTACAATTTATGGACAAAATGTCTTAATTGGTGGGGATTATATTATGTCTTAGGGAACACTTGTATTGATGTTTTCACCCAACATAGATGGCACAGGGGATCAAAGAGCTTAAAAAAGGGATGGGGCATGGTATGGTTTACTGTAGTTTGGTCATTATGGTTAAGCAGAAATGAAACTGCTTTCCAACATAGGAAGTTAAATGAGGATAGGCTATTTGAACTAGTTCAAGCACGCTCATTTCACTGGGTTAGAAATCTGTTGAATTTGGAAAATTTTCTCCTACATGGAATGGATTTCTATTCCAGTGAGATGCTTGACAAATAGGATATAGAGACTTGATGGGAGTATTTGTTTCCTGGGTCTGTTTTTTGGATTGGTGGGTGATATTGTCTTGACCACCTTGTCTACATGTAATTTCATGTACTGATATTTAAGGGTTTGAGTACCCCTTGTACTCACAATAAAATTCATTAGCTTTTCGAAAAAAAAAAAAAAAAAAACAATCAAAAGAATGACGGGATGAGGAGTATATATTTAGCAAAAGTCAGCTAATAACAAATGAGATGCTTATTTTCTTAAATTTAGAAAGAGAAATGACACAGGAGCCAATACAAAAACATCAATTTTTCCACTCTCAAACTCCTTCACTAAGTGAAGTGAAACTCAAAACCTTTGATTGAACTTGATG